CACCTTAGTATATACTTTATTGTATTAATCATTTTGTATATATACAATGCATACAATACACATAGCCTAAGTCCAATGAAAATATTTAAACTAAACTATTAATATAAATATTATTAGAAACGCAAATTATACTAATAAGTGCATAAAATATGATATATATATATATATATATATATATATATATACTCGCATGGAGAATCTTTAATACAAGAATTATATATATATATATATATATATTTTTTTTTTCTTTTTTTTTTATTCTTATTGCTTTCAATAGTCATTGAGTAATCGCAGATAATAGTTAATCATTAATTTTTGTATGAATACAAATATATAGTCCCCTGCAAAGGTAGTATTAGGAAATACTTCAATTTAAATCTGTCAAAAGAATATATACGATACGAAAAATATAAAAATATACTTGTTCTACTTTTATTAAATTTTTATCTTTTCAAAACAATTTTAATAAAAGAATTTGCTATCGTTGAATGGTAACTACTTCTAAGAATTATGCTATCGTCATTATACATGAGAAATATTATAAATTTCAAAATATTGTATAAAATACATTGATTAAATATTATTTTAAGTATAATAATAGATTAATAGGCTAATAATATAATAATAGGTTAATTGGAAATAAATACAATAAATTCAATCGTATGAACTTAATAATACTTGATTATTATAATATTTTTTATCATATTTTACAACCACATTTAACAATGCTACACCTACATAACCAAGTTTTAATATACAATTTAATAAACGTGTGCGTATGCACATTCGACATTTAAATATTTTTATAAAATTTAATTACTAAAATATTTAATAAAAAAAAAAAAAGCAAGTTTAAATCACTCTTCTTTCAATCACCATCGTGGGTAAAACATTTTATATTTCTAACAAATTGATTTAGGAGAATTTTGATTATATTGATTTTCGGATTAAAATCTATTTATTATAAAAATTAGCAAAATAATAGGATGTTAAAAATGTAGAAATTTTTACAAATTAAAAAAAAAATAAAAAATTCTTGGATTGAATATACGTTAGGATTTAAGTATCAAATATAATAAATCAGTTGACTGCCAACTAAAGTATAATATAAATTTAAAACATAAACTTCGTAAAACGAGCTCATTATATAAAAGTATTGTACCAGGAAGTGTGAAAATAATTATAGGAAAGTTTTTTACTTACGCTCCCTTCAAAGTAAATAAATAAATCTTTATGTACTATGAAGTAATAGCAAAAGCAAAAGTAACAAGCATCTCAATGAAATATAAAGAATTATTAATTAACAATAGATACGTAATATCGCGCGTGTCGAATTTGGATGCAATTATAGACAGTCCTTGAGGAAAGATCGCTACCTCGACTAAAATAAACGCCCAGAGCCTCTATTTACCATTGTGCAATATTTATGTTTGTTATGCTCTCACTATTCTTATCTTTTCTATTTTATTCATATTCTACTTTTGGATCGATAAATTTTTTCTTAAGACCAACGTGAAAATTTATTAATTAATGTCAAAAACATTTGCTACTAATATTGTGGCATAATTGAATGTTTTGTTGTTTTGTTGTTTTTTTTTCATTCTACCGTATTCCTTAAGATTATCAGAAGAAAGGTTATTTTTTTTTTAAACAATCTTCATCGAACAAACGTATAAGAGGTCCTTAATTAGATTTTCCGAATAAAATTTATACTTATTGTATAATATGAAATAAAATGAGAATACATAAATATATTTGAAAATATTAGGTGAGCATTGAAATTATTCAGAAATACAAATAATTCTCTAACCACTACAGCACAATTAAGTATAATATATATAATATATTATATTGCAATACAGATAGATATTATTTAGCACCTATACTTAGATTATAATTGTAATTAATAATGATAATAATGATAATAATAATAATAATAATAATAATAATAATAATAATAATAATAATAATAGCAATAATGATGATGATGATGATGATTATGATAATAAAACAACAGCAAAAACAAAAATAACAATATTAACAACAATGAAAATAATAACAATAACAGCGGCAACAACAAAGACAATAATAACAGATTACATTATTAAATAGCTAGAACTTATTGTTTATAAATTTATACACTGATACATAAATGTAATAGTTTTTTATTAAAAATATTTAATTCGAATTCAATTTAATATAATTAAAATTAAGTTCAAGATTGCAAATTATAATACAAAATAATATCTACAATAATATATAATATTAAAAGAATTTGCTTAATTTTTCAATTTATGTTTTATACTATCAAGTTTATTGCAATTTTCCGATTTAAAATTTTGAATTTTTGCTTGAATCGAAAGTTTTAATAAAAAGTATAATAATTTTAAGATAATGTTAACATATGAAAATTTACTGATCAGTTTATTGAATAGACATTAAAATGTTTCTTTTTAATCTTTCTAATAAATCAATAAATGTTTTTAAAATAAAATAAAATAAATTTTTTAAATAGATGTTTCGTATAAATAAAATATTATATTTTAAATTATAGATTTTTAAAAATAGTAAATAATTAAATAATCACGGTTAATTAATCTTAAATTTTTACCAAAAATATTTATTATAAAACACTACAATTATACAGTTTATTCTTTAATGCATTAAAATATGTACAATATTATAGACAAAATCAGATTCTTGATTAAAATAATATAAGTAATAGAAATCTTAACAGAAATTTCTTTATGAAATCTTCATAAAAGTCAAATAAATAATGTGCATTTGTTGTACTAAAGAATTTGTTGTCGACTAAAGAAGAAAATTACAAACACAATTTTCACGATTACCAATTGAAATGCCAATAATGTAAGTTGTAGAACTTTATAAAGTAATAAGATAATATAATTTATTATACATTATGAAATTTTTGTTTCTATGTTAAAATATAAAATGTCAATACAAACAGTTGAAAAATTGTTTCCTTTGACATGGACAAGATGAATAACCACTGAAATAGGAATAAATTCATTCGATGGCTTACATTACAACTTAGTCGATGAAAAAGAAATTTTTCTGAAAGTGTAATTTTATATATAATGATATAATTTTTTAAGTTATTTAAAAAAAAAAAATGTAAGTTTTAATTTTAAAAGTACGTAATAAAAAAATCAGAAAATAATACGATATCAATTTAAATTTTCTCAATTATTTTAATTCTCTACTGTTTTGTAATTAATTACAATGATTAAGAATGCCATAAGCTATATAATTTCATAAGCCATACAACAAATTATTATGAATAAAATTAAAAATTTTTAAAATATTATCTTAATATTATAATTTGTGCATAATGTAGAAAAACATAGTCGATTATATATGTATATTGAACTTATCATGCATTAAGGTATCATTAATATAAAAAAAAAGGCGAAATTGAAATTCGTAAATAAGGATAAATCTTAAGGAAATGTTGTCTAAAAATTTAAAGTGAAAAAATTAAATTTTTTTGTTAAATTTTCTATAAAAAGATAAATATAAAATGCATTGCTTGATGATTAATTTAACAATAATATGTTAAAATTTAATCGTTAACTTCAACATATTTTAACCAGTGATATCTTCTATTTTTTTATTAACACCCTTTAGTATATTAAGATAGGTATTATTTTTCAAAATCATATTTTAATTTTTTAAATAAATTTAATACAAAATTCCTAACAAAATACTTTGAAAGTTAGCCATAGCCTATTATATATTAACAGAGTTTATAATCTTGTATAAATTTCACTATCACACACACTTATTTATTTGTGCTCTTTCATTTAGTGTTGTTCTTATTGAAATTGCAATGAAAAAGTCTTATTGAAACTTATTGATTTTAACATTCATGTAAAAATTAATCCTACGTAATGCTTTTGAAAAAAGTCCACGTTGTTTAAATAGGGCATTTTACTTCTTTAAGCTTCTATTAATAAAGCGGATTATTTCAAAGGCATCACAGCACCAAATATGATAAGTTACGAAATCTCTTTGTATTCGCGAATTGATCAATTTTTGTAACATTCGGGTACTTTTAATGTTAATAATGCCCAACAAGTGTTTTTCGGGTACTTTGTAGTTGGATTTTTCTTACAAAACATTATTTACACGATATGACTTTAATTATATTCCAATTAATTATATTATCAATATATAAATATTGAAGATTTTCGAACGAAAATATTATTATTATTATTATTATTATTATTATTATTATTATTATTATTATTATTCCGTTAATACGAGCGATAAACGAGTTTCAACTAATTAGCTGAAAATGCAAAAATGCTTGTCTAAAAATAGCGCGAAATTTTTAATTTGAACTAGTTAGCTTGTTTTAACATTTTACGAAATTTTTATTTAAAATTCTTTCAGAGATTATGCTCGCCCAATAAATAAAGCAGTTGACACCTAGTAAATCATTCACAGTGATTTTACATCTTCCTCTCGATCCATGCTGGCACCACAGAATATAACAATAAACACGGATGGAGAAAGAGAGACAAAGAGACAAAGAGACAGAGGGAGAGAGAGAGAGAGAGAGAGAGAGAGAGAGAAGAGAGAGAGGAGCGAGGGAGCGAGAGGGAGAGAGAGGGGGAGAGAGAGAATGAACAATGTTGGCCTAACCCTGAACTCGGTTTTGTGGAAATATCCCGAGACTGCGAGAAAAACTGAGTCACGTTTTCCTCATCCGAATCCACACCCCAGATCGATAAAATTCATATTGACAACCCCATCGTATCGCCGATACACAACCCCGCATATACTGACTCTCTGTGACTCTGTCTCTCTCGTTCCCAACATCAGCAACGTCCTTATATATATATATATATATATATATATATATATATATATGCCTATAACTATATTTATATGTATATATATGCATTCTTTCCTCACACCACCTATCTTACACACCCCAGTATCCGATGTTCGACAATTGCCGCGTTTTTACGCACCTCTTGACTGGACGCGCCGACGACGATCAGCTCTCTCAACATTTCCCGAAGGCGAATTTTCTCGGCAACTCTTCTATTAAAGATTGACAACAAAGATACGCTCGTTCTTTCTGGAAAAGTATATCGTGAATCTCCGCCGCTATTTCATCCGTCATGGGCTTCGTACTTTAACACCTGTATTCTCGATTCTCGACTTGCTCTCTTTCTAATGAAAAAGAGAGAGAGTGAGAGTGAGAGTGAGAGTGAGTGAGAGTGAGAGTGAGAGTGAGAGCGAGATTGAGAGCGAGATTGAGAGCGAGATTGAGAGCGAGATTGATAGCGAGATTGAGAGTGAGATTGAGGGTGAGAGTGTGTGTGGGTGTGTGTGTGAGAGAGAGGGAGTGAGAGAGAAGGAGAGAGAGTGAGAAAGAGAGAGAGAGAGAGAGAGAGAGAGTGATTAAGTGCGCGCGCGCGCGCACGCGTGTGTGTCACGAGCGAATAAGTGATTGAGAACGAGAGAACGATGGAAAATAAAAGTGGGTTGGGAAGTATGTATGTCGCCTTTTGTGTATGTGTGTGTATATGTGTGCGCGCGCGTGTGTGTGTGCGTGCGTGCGCGCGTGCGTACGTGTATTGCTACGCGTGTATGTGACGAGTGCGAGGAGAAAAGAACGGAATGAAAGAGGGGTGGGTAGGTAGGGGGAGGAAAGAGTATGAAAAAGTTTTCACAGCACACCGCGGATATTTGAATAACTGATTCGCGTACTCGGAGCGAGAAATTTATGTATACCTCGCCAAAACGATTTTCCACCCGCGCACACCGCACTCTTTTTTGAGCCAAAGAAAAAGAAAGATTAATATAGAAAGGTATATGCCAACATCCGTGCATGCGCGTATGCTTGCTTGCGCGAACGTGTATGCATGTTTTTTTCATCTATGAATGCTTGTGTGCGTGGGTGTTTGTGTGTGTTTGTGTGTGGGCGCGCGTGAACGCGCGTGTACGTGCTTGCAGATGCGTATCTCTTCGGGGCGGGTATGCATGTAATACCCACACACTGATAAAATACGTAGTGCGTACTCACTTTTGAACTTGAACTGAAGTGGCGAGCACGAGCACTGGCCACTCGATAGGCAAATCGCGCGATTAAAATAACACAAAACTAAGCTGAATGTAAATTATAAGCACGGCAAGCGTTGTATTCTATTATAAGATATGGAGTCTACATAGGTGATCGGACAATCTTTCAAAAGTACGAGAAAAGAGAAGAGAAAAGAGAATGAGAAAATGAGAAACCAGTATCCCAACAACGTGTCGCGACAAGCCAGTAGCGAACCACCAACTAGGTACTACTCTGTCACGTGACCAACACCAAACCTGTATGTCCTATACTAGCTCCTGAGCGTGCACTCTGCACTGTTCTCGTGGTACTTTAGGCGAATAGAGGTTAAAAAGGATGAGCAGTGGTGGTGCGCGGCGACGAGGGCCGGGGGAAGAGTGCCGATGCCGATGGTTGGCAATCCTCTCGGCGCTCGGTCAGGACTGTAGGGGGGGGGAGAGGAAGAGAGGATAAGCAGCCGCGTACCACATATTTCGATTGGATGAATTTATCGAAGAATGAAATTTGGAATCCATAGAAGAGTGAGATTAAGGCGGCGGCAGCGTACACACTTGCCTACTACAGACTCGAGTGGAATGTAGAAAAACAAAAAAAACAAAAATAAAAAAAAAAACAACAACATCAAAAAAGGCGAAATTACTTAAATAATTCTGTACAGTATGTGCATTCTTGTAATAGGACACGGAGGGCTGACATACTGCCGGCAATAATGCTCGATTAAAGTAAACCGCTCCCCTCTTCGCCAATAATATAATGCACGCCTTTACCTTGACGACGACGACGACGACGACGACGATGATGATATTGATAATTATGATGATGAGGACGAGGATGGTGGTGACGACAATTTATTAGGTTTCATTCTCGCGTCTATATAAACACTGTGCAAATTGACAGCTACTTAAAGCATTATTAGACAAATAGAAACTTTCCCTTTCCACATCACTATCGATGCGATAGCATTAGAATTGCGCAATGCCGTACTTCTCGACTACTTTATCGGCTGAGCAACAGTTGCGTTATGGCGCTGTTGTCGTGCTGCGTGTTTACACTTGTGAATATACCGAACTTTTCTATCACTGTGCCGACTGATTTTTATACTTTTAAGCGAGTAAATCTGATCTGAGGATGTTTGGAGCTGTAAGATAAACACCAGCCTATGCTAGATATTAAAGCCAACAGGTTAATTGCACATAATTGTGAAGATATTTTGCAATATGCATATATATATTTTTAATCCTCCTTTCATTGTTTTTTAATTTGTATAATGTTTTTTCTTATTGTAGTTTGAGTGGAACGTTGACATTGCTCATTGTTCATTGCTCAATACCATTAAAACATCCACTATTGTAATCCGCGCATGTAAAAGCTTTATTTATCTCTGCTTTTTAAAATAATAAAAAAATTATTAATATACGTGTATATGTGCACATTTGATTATTAATATTAAGCCTAATCAATGAGTGCTTTATAGTCGATACTTAACGGGCTTTGTTTCTCCTACTTTTAAAGGAACAAATGTATTTATGAACAAGATGACAAAACTAATATATCCCTATTTAAAAATAAACAATAATTTCATTTCTATGCTAATATAGCTTATGTACTATCTCTGCGATAGTACTGCAAAGAACCATGCTTTTACATTTTCAACTATGCTTTATATTATGCCATTATATACCTTAACTTTTTCATAATTATCAAACAAATGATTATATCATATGTGTTACACAATGTAGAAGTGCGAAGGCAAGCAATCTTATGAAATTTGTTGTTGTTACAAATACTTTACAAAGAAATATAAATTGAACGCTGATGATTTTGTATCAAAAGTATTTCACCAGCGATTACTATTATTTAGAAAATTAAATAAATTATTATCGGTTGCTGAGTTGAAAATTATGAATATTTTCAAACTATTATCTACATATTACAATATATATATATATATATATATATATATATATATATATATTTAAAGTTTCATATAATAAATTAATATTTTTAATTATTTTATATTAATAGAAATGGATATTTTTACTAATTTTTATTCACTTATTTATAAATATAAAAACCAAGAATAATAACTTTTCACTTATTTATTGTCAAATATTCTGACACTTTATATTATTTTATAAAAAGCATATACATTGAGAATAGTTTTATTATGTATTTAAACATATTTTTCAAATTATATACCTTTTAGATGATAAATTGTAGTAATTTCATTGAATTAGCTTTGATATTATACATTTTTCTTAATACTTTATTACAATACTATTTTATAATTCTTTAAATTTATATTACATATTATTATATTATATTTTTATATGCTCTTAATTAAGGAAAATCTTGCATTGAAGAAACAATTATTTGTTTGTAATGGTTACGGTACATTTTAATGTTAATTTTTCATTGTGACTATAATTATTATGGGTCGATAAATAATCAAATTTACATAATTTCATAAACATCCAGAATCATTACAATTTTTAAATTATCCTTATTATTTTATTCAAGATTGTAATTACAAGTTAGTAAATATATATAGTAACTTATACATTTTTTTTTTTTTCATAACTTATTCTTACTCTTTATATATATATATTTTTAATAACAATATTAGTAGGGATTTGTGAAGGAAATATAGATAAAATTGCCCTCTTATTTTCATGTATATCGTTATAATCAATTATCCATATAAATTATCATTTACAAATAGTAAGTAGAAAATCGCCATAAAATACTATATTATATTTTGTAAAAATTTCAATACCACAATTACAGTATACAGTTTTTAATATGAAATTATATGTAGTCCTCAGTTTTCTTTATCTTTATGTATATAAATTAATTGTTTTTTTAATTTTAATGATATACTACCTTAAATATAATATAAAGGGGTTACAAATACTACTAGAAATGTATGTGCATTAGTGAATGTTGAAATATAAATATATTAAAACTATGCTAAGTTTTATTTATAATCTTTTTTACAATTTTTTACTTTGAATATTTAAATAATTTATTTCAAACAGCATCTAATCAATGAATTTATTTATCTTCATAAATTCTTCTTATTATGAAAATTGACATATTTATGATATTCTTATATTTGGTCATTATTAATTTAAAATTATAATTAATTACATAATTTAAATTTATATATAAGCTGATTATGAATAATTATTGTAGATTATTATAAATAAATATATATACCGTATAATAAAAAATTCACACTAATAAGCTCATAATAATATAATATTTATATTTATTTATTATTGTCATAAATATACTCGTTTTAGAATTATTGCTATTGTGCTCTATTATTAATTTTTAATTTATTGTTGCAACTACAAACTGTATACTTATAAATTTAAAAAAAATATATAATTATCGATTTATTATACGTGTGAAAATTTCGGACTTTCATATCTTTTCTAATCAAATTATCTACAAAATTTCCATCCTTACGTATTTTTAACAAAAATAGCAGATATAAATCAATCAATTATAATTATCGAAATATTTTTGTTGCCTATTAATATTATAAAATTGTATTAGTTAGCACCATCCTCTACGTAGGATTTTAAAAATAGCTAAAGTATAAAATGAAAATTTATATTTCCTAATGATTGAAGAAACGCAGATTACGAAGAAAAATTAATTCTAATAGAAATTCAATAATGTAATTGTTAAAAAAAAAAAAAAAAAAAAATTAAATCCATGATAATAATCATTAAATAGTCATCTGCATGATAATCAATTGTCGATACTTGAATAAATATACTTAAAATAAATTCACAAAATCAAGGAGTTAATAAATATATTTAGTGATTTACTATATATAAGATATAATTAATCCATTAAGCATTTAACTGAAATGAATCATAATAATATTTATACTAATGTAATATTTCTATTACATTATAAATAGACAATATAACGTATTATTTATTAATATAAAATATAAGTATTGTATGATGACGATTGTTTAATTAATAAATAAAATAACTTATTAGGACAAACTTGTTTGATGTTTAAATATAGTATACAATATATTTTATTAGAATTTTTTTTTGCATACATTAAATATTGCTTGAATATTATACTTTATTATCTTAAATTTTATGTTGCTTTATGATATCCTATGAAACTCATTCCTTTTTAATATAATTACTGTTTGATTTTTATTTAAAGTTACCGTGATATATTAAGTATAAATAAATTGTTTTTACAATTCGAGTGTTTTCTCTCAATTTTTAAATTAAGTTATTACTTTTTTTTTTGTTTTTTTTTTTATTTTTTCAAAAATTTCTGCATCCTACGCTTCCCCCACTTATAGTATATATATGTTTTCGGTGTGAGTTGTACGCAAGCGCAGATGTGCAAACGCAACATTCCACACATAATATAAAAAAAATATTAAATTGTAAAAAATAGTATCAATAATTTGATGTTAATTTATTTGTTTTTTTTTGTTGTTTTTTTTTTTTTTTTTTTTTTTTTTTTTGGTTTATTTTTTTCATCAACATTCAAGCAAGTATTTAATGTAATTATAATACTAAATGAAAACATTGTAATAAATTAGAAAATATAAAGTATACATAAACTTATGGAGTTAATATTGGAAATTAATACTTCGAATGGTAGATGTTTAAATAATAATACAGTATATATTACGGAATTAATGTAATAATAAGTCAATATTTCATACTAATTTGCGATTTTGAAAATAATAAATGTATTGTGAAGTCTCTTTGGCCTATATTGGCAAAAATTTATTAAAACTTCATATACTTAGCGAGCATTTAATTATAAGCAATTACTATTTCTTAACGTATTCATATTTTAATTTTGTGGTGGTAAACGTAACTGTTTATTTAGCTAAATATGCGACGTGTTACATTGAATAAAACTGCCACGTGACAGGAAAAAAATGCTTGATATCGTAGTTGATATACCAGCACTGTGCACAAAACAGAACATCATAAAAGATAAATGACTTTAATAACAATGTCCATGAATTTTGCATCGAAAATTGCTTAAAATCAATACCTATAAAAATACACAACGACTAAAGCATTTATAAAAGTGCTTATAAAACCTAAATGATAAAGCTTCTTTTTTTTCATTGTAATAGTAAGAATGATAGAATAACTAGGGCGATGAGCGTAAGAAGATCTCGATGAAATTATGTTAAAGAGAGGCGAAAATAATTTAAAAACTCCGTCCGTTGTGGCATTGCAAATCGTGAAAAAAAAAAAAAAATACTCAGATAAAGAACAGCTAATACAAACTGAATGCAATTACAATGAAGCCTTCCTCCCTCATAATAAAGATATAAAAATCTTAACCCCAATGTTTAATCCTAGAAGCAGTTTTATTAATTAAGTCCTGAATATTTGACACGTCATCAGCAGTCTGGCGATCTTTGACCATTTCTACTTACTTTCAGCCAGATCTCAGCTGGTCAGTATAGGCTAGTCCCCTTAAGTGCGCGCGTGTGCGCTGTAGAGCGCTCGCGTGTGTGTGCGCCCGTGTGCGCGAGGAGTGCAGTCTCGTGTCAGTCGTGTCGTTCCTTCGTTCGTCTTTGCCGTTCGCACAGCCGCCTTATTACCGCGCGCACATTTAAGCCCATACGAGCTTAATTCCACTCCTTTGCCTTCGTATCTCCACTCAACAATTACGCGCGATATGTTCTATAACGTTTATTCTTACGGAATCCTTCATAAATAGCGTAAGTACATTAATCGCCAAAGAAATAATCGACAAAATGTGCGCCTTTCAGTCCCCCATTTTTCTTTCCCTCTAACATACACGCATACATACGTGCCATCTCTATCTCATTCGATCATTTGCCTGCTCTCGAATCCCAATATACGTACACGAGTTCACCAACACGAATGAAGCATGCATACGTGGGTGATTCTTGTCTGACTTTAGGCCCATTTATTCGCGTGAGAGCTTTAAAAGATGTTGACAAATTAATATTGGATGCATTCGACCACCGATGTTGTCAAAAAAGTTGTCAGATTTATCGTTGCTTTCACAGTATTTGCTTATTTCGGTATTATATTTTTTTATTTTCTAATCGTGATAATGCCCACTCTAATCCTGTCAAAAGTCAATAAAAGTTATTATATAAATTAATAAGTGTCTCGTGCCATTAAGTGAGGATTAATTATATAGAGCATTTATTGTTATATATTATCAGTGAATATGAAATAATTTTGTTGTGAGGAAATAAAATTAGCATTTGCTTTACTTGCTCGACTGTTTCAAAGTAATTGATAATTGCATTTTTTAGACTTTAAAATAGGCAGGTACATGATCATTTAAACATTACCTATAAAATTTATAATTATTCACGCAAATATATAAGCTGTTCGACGTTTTTTTTTTTTTTTTTTTTATTTAGCTTCTCATAGTATTAGAAAGTGATTGGACTAGTATTTGCAAAAATTGTAGTGAATAAGAAAGTTTAAGACTCGTAGGTTAGGTTGCTTATAAGATCAAAGATTTTTTTTATGAAACGTCTGCAATACCATATTTTATGAACTCTACTATATAATTGTATTTAATACATTATGCTTGAATTTAAAGTTTAATATAATAATGATAATGCGGTTAGGGGTATCGATATGCTTAGGACTCGATTACTACAAATTGATAAATATTGAAATTATTGTTGTGAAAAAATTCATGAAAACTTTTTTAAATTGTTATATCTAATTCATTCGAGATATATAATTGTGCTGAATTTCATGAAATATTTATCGAAGCACGAGTATTTATTTCAATGTCCAGTTAACAATACTTTTAATAAATAATAGCTCGTAATTTGACAAATTAAAGTTAATAAATATCACACTTTTATTGTAGAGTTAAAATGAATCCTCAGTACATGCAGCAGCAGCGTCCAGTATACGGACCTCCGCCATCCAATGCACCATATGGCGAACTTAACGCAAATTTGTCTCCCAAAGGACCACATGAATTGGGATCGCTTCCACCTCAGAAACCGTTACAAAGTCAACCACCTACAATCGATGCTGCCTGTGCAACGAAACCACCTTACTATGTAAACGATATTCAAGGACAAGTAGTTGATACTCAACATGGACCACCTCTACCGCCACAGTCTAATCAAACTAACTTAGTCAATCAAATGTCTAACGTGACTTTATCTGGTATACAAAAGCCTTCTCAGGATTTTTCACCACAGTCTGAAAAAAATGTACCAAATATGCCTTTTTCATCCACTGTAAATGGAATTAATAATCAGAATCATTATATCGCACAAGGTACCGCAGGATTCTTATCATTAAAAATAAATTGTATATCTTTACAAAATTTACCTTCTATAACTATTAATAAGCAGTTTACAGAATTGCAAACAATACTTAGAGTCTGAAAAATTTAACAATATCATCGCGCATATACCATAAATTATCATGAATTATGAAGTTTTATCTAGATAATTATTTTCACATAAATAAATAATAAATTTAAACGTCATTTTATCTTTAGGTGAACCAGATAAAATTAACTTTCCAGGAGAGAAATCAGGATTAATTTCTCAGAAATCATCGCCTCATCAACCTGGATCGGCCGACTCTCAAATACCCAGTCTTCCAAATCCCTATGGCTCTGCTGTCAAACCTCAAATTTCAGAACAACAACAATATCCTGGGCAAATGCCACCCTTTGGCTCACCATCGGTACGTAATACTTCCGGAAATCCAGTACAGATGACTCCTGCAATACCTACCGAACACCATGGCCAATTATCAAGTCAAAATAGATACAACGCACCGTTAGTAAATCAAGGAGACTTAATGGGACCGGCCGTTACAGGGAAATCAATAGGCGTTATTCCAAACTCTCCAAATACTGGTAGCCAGCAGTCATTTCGAGCGCCTCCTCTATTAAATCAACCACATGGAACGCCATTAAATCCACCACCTTTAGGACCACAGACATTAAGTAATCGAAAGAATACACCAGATTCTTCTTTACCTGGACCAATTTCCGTGGCTCCTCCAGCGTTGAATCAAAATTTGCCTGGACCACCATTACCTGGGCAAAATCTTCAGGCCCCTTCATTTACAGATCAGCAAGGTTTGCAAAGATCTCCCTTGGGTCAAACGTCTAACTTATCAGGACAACAACAGTTATCCGGTCCATATGGACAACAAAATCTATCTGGACCTCCGCTTTTACCAGTGCAACAAACACATTCTCCGTATCCATACTCCAATCAAGTACTTGAACAACGACGGTATACAACAAGCCCTTCATTATCTGGACCACAAAATGTTACGAATTCCTATACTCACACAAACTATCAGCATTCTGAAATAAATTATCAAGGATATCAAAAACAAAATTGTAGTCAATCTGGACAAACAGTAAGAAATTTACTAGAAATAAATATAGAATGTGGGAGATTAAAATACTATATCTTGAACTATCAATGCGTCATTAAATTAATTTTCTATTAACATTTTAATTATTTCGAGTTAAATTTAAATAAAAATTTTATTCTTCCAAAACTAATCGGCTCTCTTTAAAATTGAAATATTATGAAAAATAATTTTTGTAGAACATGTATGCCAATCAGATGAATCCTTATCAAAGTGGTATATCAAGTACTCCCGAAGGATATCAAACTAACGTTCAATCTCAACAAGTGAGAAGACTTGACCCCAATCAAATGCCCAGTCCTGTAAGTTCCTTACGAATTAAAAATGAAAATAATATGAAAATACTAATTTCTTACCTATAAAAATACGTATTTTCTCTTACATAGATACAACTAATTCAAGACGATCAAAGACTAAAAGGTGGAGTGTTTGTAACAAATGAAAAGGGCTTGGTTCCTCCATTGGTTACAACAAAATTTACCGTCGAAGATAAAGGAAATGCATCGCCACGATTTATTCGATCAACAATATATACTGTGCCCACTGCCACAGATATTATTAAACAAGTAAGTTTAACGCATAAATCTTTCACATTGTTTAAATGTTGTGCTTCATGGAATGAAATTCTCACAGACACATATTCCATTTTCACTTATACTGAGTCCAATGGCTCAAATAGAAGAGGGTGAATTTGAACCACCTATAGTGGATATGGGAGAAATTGGTCCGGTGCGTTGTAATCGTTGCAAAGCTTATATGAGTCCCTTTATGCAATTTATCGACGCTGGCAGAAGATTTCAATGCATGTTTTGTAAAACTACAACGGAAGGTAACAGTGTTGACAATTTTTCAAATTAATCACACACAGACTTATGATTTTATCGATCAATTTTGTAGTTCCATTGGAATATTTCCAACATTTGGATCAGACCGGTCAAAGAATGGACCGTTACGAACGCCCTGAACTAATTCTTGGTACTTACGAGTTTCTGGCAACAAAAGAGTATTGCACAGTATGTATATAACTAGTGGATAGTACTGGATTTAAAAAAAAAAATTTAACAAATATTAAACAAATTTGTTTTAAATTAATCATTCTAATTTCCTTTCATTGTTTTTTGTTTCTTAGAACAAAACATTTCCAAATCCACCTGCAATTATATTTGTTATTGATGTTTCTTATAACACGGTAAAATCGGGTTTGATTAACTTAATTTGTGCTAACATGAAAAAAATTATTCGCCATACACCTGTCGATGTGGGTCAATCTAAATCAAATATGAAAATTGGTTTTATAACATACAGTAGCACAGTTCAATTTTACAACATTAAAGCAAATCTTGCTCAGCCTCAAATGATGGTAGTTGGCGATGTACAGGATGTATTTATGCCACTTCTCGATGGCTTCCTTTGTAATCCAGAAGAAAGCGAAGCATTAATCGATAGCTTAATGACTCAAATTCCAGTTATGTTTGGAGACAGTCGAGAAACAGAAACTATTCTTGGACCAGCTATTCAAGCTGGATTAGAAGCTCTCAAGGTGAGTAGCTGCACATATTATATCTGTTATCGACGAAGCTTGATTATCGAAGTATTGTAATAATTATATGTATATTAAAAAACGTATTGATTATTTTAAATAAAAAAATGTAAGTACACATGTACATTCAATTCATTGACTTCCATTAATATTGCAAAAATTTCTTACTATTTCTTACCTTATAAAATAGAAGAGAACATTAATGAAACTACTCATTGGATGCAAAAATATGTGAATGTTTATAAATACAGTTAACTCTCTATACATTATACATTATTAATTATTTCCATATAACGATAATATTAGGATTGGTATAAAGTTTGGCTATGTTTAATGCTTATTTTAGGCATCATCGTGCGCGGGCAAACTTATGGTATTTCATTCATCTTTACCCATTGCCAATGCACCAGGAAAGCTTAAGAATAGAGATGATCGTAAGCTTCTTGGAACGGATAAGGAGAAAAATGTTTTAAGTAAATATCCAATTTATTTGCATATTTCACGACAATGACCATTGTCACGTTTATTTTCATTTTTCTTCTTTCAGCCCCACAGATTAATTATTACAATAATCTTGGGCAAGACTGCGTCGCATCTGGTTGCAGTGTCGATTTATTTATTTTTAACAATTCATACATTGATGTAGCGACGATTGGCCAAGTTTGTAGACTTACCGGTGGAGAAGTATATAAGTACACATATTTTCAAGTGAGTGGCCGATAAAATGATAATCACAATTTTGTAAATCAAAGTACTTTATTTTTCAAGCCCCTATTTGATATTTACGAGCATTCATAATAATATATTATAATAATTGTTTTTAAACATATAATTTATGTGATTATTTAAATTAAATAGGCTGATATCGATGGAGAGAGACTAATCACAGATATAATAAATAATATAAGCAGACCAATTGCATTCGATGCAGTTATGCGTGTCAGAACATCCACCGGTGTTAGACCAACAGAATTCTTTGGACATTTTTATATGTCTCATACAACCGATGTGGAATTAGCCAGCATAGACTGTGACAAAGTATAGATATGTTAAAATAATAATTTAAATACCCTTATTTAACATATTTTTAATGGTTTTTAATGGTTTGTCATTAGGCTGTTGCAATAGAGATTAAACACGATGATAAATTAGCAGAGGATGAAGGTGTTTACATTCAAGCAGCCTTACTTTATACATCATGTAGTGGCATAAGACGATTAAGAATTATCAATCTGAGCTTAAAAACTTCATCACAAATTGCAGAGCTTTTTAAATCGTGTGATTTAGACGCTATTATCAATTTCCTTTCTAAACAAAGTTAGTATCGCTTTTCATTTAATTAATTGTCTTAAAACATTTATCGATAAATTAAATGAAAATTTATGAAAATTGAAAAAAATTTACGAATAAGTATTGGTAAAATGATCAAAAGGAAGGCGAAATTATTTCGATTAACGGCCAAGCAACGTACAACAGCAACGCCTCTTTCATATCGTGTACACTCGCTTATATACATACCTTAAAAATCATAATAATTACAACAAAAAGTAGATGAAAAAAAAAAAAAAAGAAACAAAAACATATTAAATAATATCAATTATTTATGTTAATATTGAAACTTCATGTTTGGTCTTAATGAGTAAGATGTCTTAATAAATATTCCTTTCTTTGTTTGTACCATAAGGTGTATTTAAGCTTATGGACTCGTCTCTAAAAGCAGTTAAAGATAATTTAATTTCAAGATGTGCCACTATACTTGCATCTTATAGAAGATTTTGTTCATCTCCATCAAGTATTGGCCAGTTGGTACTTCCCGAATGCATGAAATTACTACCACTTTATATAAATGGACTATTAAAGAGCGATGCCATTACTGGAGGTATGTAGAAGTAAATGATAAAAGAGTTTGCTTGAGTTTTAAATTTTCTCTTTACAGTTAATTATTATAGTATAAGTTTGCCAAAGAAAAACACGTGTATTTATTTATAGACGTAGTTTAAAGAAAAATTCTATGTTTACAAAGGAAATTTTATATTTATTTTAGGTAGTGGAATAACAATTGATCAGAAATCGTATGTAATAATGTCGGTTACGACAATGCCAATTGGCGAGTCAGTTGTTCATGTTTATCCACGATTAATTTCATTGCATGACGTTAATCCTCAATCTACGGATATTCCACCTATGTTACGTTGTTCAAAAGATAAATTCACAGACGATGGGGCATATTTGTTGGGTAAAAACTCGGAAACAATTTTCACATATATGCTAGCCGCGTATAAATTTTAATTTATAATACATTTACAGAAAATGGAATTCACATGTTTTTATGGCTCGGTGCGAATTTGAGTTCACAATGGTTGCAGTCAGTTTTTGGTGTCTCATCCGTACTTCAAGTTGACACTGATAAGACTACAATACCGCCATTAAATAATCCATTGAATGACCGAATCAGATATATAATTAGTTACGTTCAAAGTGAGAGGCGACACTGTATGCGGGTAAAGTCTCACACACATATATAATACGTTTTTAGATATAATAAATTTTGATTGACCCGTTGAGTATAAATTCGATTAGAATTAAAAATATCAATCGTAATAATTTTGAGTATCATCAGTATTTGTACAATTATTGAATTGCTGAAGTATTATGCTATAGAAGTTTAGAGTAATTAATAATTCATGAAAATATTTTTCAGTTAACTATCACCAGACAACGAGAAAAAATGGAAATGGTAATGCGACAGTTCTTGGTGGAGGATCCAGGCGTTGATGGTAGTCTTGGTTATGTAGACTTTCTGTGTCACATACATAGAGAAATTCGAACGCTTCTTAGCTAGTGTAAATTGAGATAAATAATTTCTCAAATATAGAGAACTAAAAAGAAGGCAAATAAGTTTTAATTTAAGTAGTATGTAATAAAGTTTTTATGTAAAAGTTGAATGAGAGATCGAGGAAAATGAGAGAAAGAAACGAGTGAAAAGAATAGAAAATGAAAGTGGAAAAGGGGAGAGAAAGGTTGATTTCTACAAAAGTAATTTTAAAGATAAATTGTATTATTATACTGGATATTGTATCAATAGCTTTGCTATTATGTATCGTTAGTACGTTAAATTAATTATTAAGGTGTAACAAAGTATAATAAATTTATATATTAAGTCAAAATTGTTAATGGATATTGAGCTGCTTTATTTCAAAATATTTTTATTTCTCTGATTAACTGTATATTACTTTAATATTATACTTCTTACGTTAATATAATAAATTACTGTTTTAAAGGAATTTTAAAGGATTTTAACATGTTTTATTAATATTGTTTTTTTTATTTTTAGATCTTATCAAATACATGTATGTGTGTTTGAATATTTACGAATAAATTAATACATATAAAATATTAATATTTTCATTATTTTGCATTTTGTAGTATGTATATATATATATATATATAAGTTTTAAATCAAACTATAAAATAAATATAAAAATATCATAAATATTACAAAATGATGGATTTTCTGTTGGTAATTTTTATTCTAAAATGCATATAAAATTTGGAAACAAATTTAATATATATATATATATATATATATATATATAGACACATATAAATTAATTAAATTGATAGACCATTAGGCAAATTAGGCAATTTTTTATAAGTTTTGATATGTGAAGGGTAGTAATTTAGTCTTTTTGCTTTCACAAAGAAAATTAATCTTTTTAATGATTAATTAAATGGCATTTAATAGGCATTCAATGCAATTTCATCCAAAAAAATCTGTTTATATTACTGATTAAAATCGTAGTAAAGAATAAAATTATACCCTTATACTATTATTAAAAAAACTTTTGTCTTCACCGCCTTTTTCGTTCTTTTCTTTTCTTTCTGATTACAAGTTATAAGAATAATACAAATAAAAAGATAATACAAATAGTATAAATGCAATTACAGTGCTGTCGTCCATTTACGTATTTGATTAAATACGTTGTTATGTGAAAAGTTTGAAGCGCAACGTAACCACCTGCCTGACTCGTATTCTGCAAGTATTGAAGTGCGTAAATGGCTCGGCACGTACAATTGCTAATGGACTTCCGTATATATAAATATACATTTGCGTATTGAGCAGACAATAAGAAGAAAGTGTGTAGTGCGCAGGTTGGAAAATATAAAGCGTATTAGCATAATATCTTATAAAAAAAAAAAAAGTAGGATCGCGGTTATAGGGCGTTCGTTATTAATTATCCTTTTGGATTGTTCATTAGCTTTAGTTTTGAGTTTGAGTGCGCGTGTCGTGCGGATAACTATTTAGGTCTTTGTTAAAGCATAATTAAGTAATGAGCAATTATCGAGTTTGTTCGTCGATGGAAAATTTATTTCTAAATGTAAAATGATAATATGAAATCCTTTTTCGCAATTTCATTTTCACGTCTTTTCATGGGATTGGTAAATGTTAAAAAAATCGAATGACTTATGTGCCTATTACATAGTCGGTTTGTGGGGTTAAAATTCATTGGTTTATTGATAATGATAATTTATTGAGCGAGAAGCGTACGTACGATATGAGGAAATAATATCCTATAGAATAAATGTTCTGAAGTTCAGTGTGCAAATAGTAAGTGATGTCAAACTGTTTTGTGTGCAAAAGCATTATGATTATGATTTAAAAGATGACGCGACGGAGAATGGAAATGTCGCTTTGCCGGTGGGACGAAGCAGAATTACGATTTCTAATTGAATATCACTTCAGGTTTTCATCTTTTTTGCTGCTAAAGAATGCAAGCTTTTAAATGTAATCAGAAGTATGATCAAGGTATCCAGCTTCCGCACATAATCCATAATTTTAGGATTTCTGGTTAGAGCAATTTTATATGATGTATTTTTTTTTTAAAGTTTACAATTACATTAAAGTTGAATAATGATAATCCGAAATGTCTTCGTATCGATTGTTTATTTGTAACGAGCAATTTGAAAACAAATTTAATCTACTGGTTCATATAATCCCTATTGTTATTGATTAATCATTGCACCATTAAACAAAAGGCGTAATTATTTATTTTTATCAGTACATTGTTTTAATGGTCAAAGTAATTTTGAAAGTTGCAATTAGGCTTAATAATATTGGATTATTTTAACAAATTTATTTAACACAATTTTTAATGAAACATTTATTCAATCGTGCGTTAGGAAACATTTCAAATTAATTTACATTCAGATAATTGTTTCCACAAACTTGGATGATAGAGGCAATATATCGGTATCTTTATTGATAATTAAATGGTTTAAATGGAGTTTTCTACTAAAGAGTTGATAAGTTAACGTGTACTCTATGAGAAAGGACTTGTCACTTATTTAAAATGCATAATATTGACATAAATATTGGCAATATCGATGATTGTTAATGGCATTGATATTGTAAAATAAATTTACAATTGAGGTTTTGATTGCCAAGACATGTTTTAGAAACAACATAAACGATAAAGTAATGTAAAACTATTTGTATAAATATAATTATATGTAATGCTTTGATTAGATTCTCAACCGGAACTTGCGAAATAAATATAAATGTACTAAATTAAAGAATGAAAACTATACATTAAATAAAATTTAATTATGTTTTTTTGTTGTTGTAAAGGAATACTTATGAAAAGGAGAAAATGCTTTGGAAAAGCATTCTCCTATGCGCTGCGACCATCCTGATTGCAGCGGTTAACTATTTTGATGCAATGTTCTACATACTCTTTGGATTGCTAACAATATGTGGAACATCGTTCGGACCTGCGATTATATTTTATGCTTATACAAGATTATCACCTATTTATCCAATTGGCTGGAAATATGCTCTTTTAAGCGCTGCATCCCTTCTGATTATAATATTTTACTATTTTGATCTGCTAATTTATTTAATATTTGGATTGCTTGTAGTATGCGGTATTTTTCTTGGTCCGACGATTGTTTTGCATATACATAACACTTTATCACCCAAATATCCGGATAATAGAGGCACTAAAAAAATAATTAATAATATTAATTTCTTTGAAACTCTTTTAATGGTAAGTTAAAAATAATGTTTCTCGCAATTAACTATGATTATGTTACAAAAATGTTGTCGGACAATATTATAATTTCACTTCGAAGCAACTTGAATATAAAACTAATTAATTTTTACTCTCGTTATAGTTAATGATAAATGCATTCGAATTAATTCCAGAGGGAACTTTATTTTAATGATGATGGAAAAAGAGATTCTGGACGTTATCCCCTTATATTTTCAAGGCTGGTTGATGGAGCTTTGCTTAATTTCTTGGATTTAGTATTTAGAGATTTTATCAGCTATTGGTTGAACGATATTGCTATCGGAGCAGATGAATTAATTAGTACTGCTAAACAAGATTTATGGGAAGCAATACAAAAAATACATAGTCGAACGGAAAATATTGATCATACAAATTTAGTAGCGTATGGCATAGTGAATACGATAACTTTTCATTTTGAAAAGATTCGACTTTCTCAAGAAGCAGCGTAAGTTTTATTAACTATTGATAGAAAATTATATCGTCGAAATTTATTTGAATTATTTTTACATTCATAGAGTTGATAAGGAAAATCCAGTGTACATTTTATCACCACATTTAGTATCAGAGGATGGGGAATTGGAGTATTTGAGAAAAGTAAGCGAGGTATTTATTTTGTTCTTTATGCCACGTGGATACACATTTCCACCAGTAATAAGTTTTCTAAGGGAGGTTTTTACATGTAAAAGTAAGTTAGGTATTTTATATATAACTTTGCATTATGAACACACTAATAAAATTTTACAAATGAATGATTATTCTTATTTAGTATTAAAACCAGTTATAAATACAATAACCGATCCAGATTATATTAATCAAAAAATTTTGTTATATATTCGACAACAACAAATGGCAGAAGCATTGCATAGGAAAACTTGCGAATATGCAGATTCGTTTGAAGATTTCATTCTAATGATTAAATCTACTAGAGATCTTGAAGTTTTAAAGCGTATTAGGTATAATATTGTGACAGAGATTATGCAAGCCACTACGACTCAAAATATTCAACGCTCTCAGGGTTTAGATTCTGAAAATATAGGCTTTGGTAAGAATGATACAACGTATGGGCGAAAATTAAAACGTTACATTGGTCAATTGACTTATGCGAAGAATACTTGTGAGTGCCATATGCAATCGTTGGGATGGGACGGCTATCCTATGGAAGAAGACGATGTAATAGATCCGATGGCAACTCCTGAAAACAGAATAATACCTTTACGAGTAATTTTGGATAGTGTTATAGGTATATTATCTTGCTATTTATATTCGTATCTGAATTTTATTATTTATGATTATGACTACTATTGTTATTATCATTATCATTATCATTATTATTATTATATTGATATTATTATTATTATTGTTATTATTATTGGAGATGCATTAAAAAGGAAAATTATGTTAGTATTAAAATTTCGTTCTAAATTCTTTTTATGGATAAAATCATCTCTATGACACTGACGACTATTTTATTATTCTTTGATTTTTTATAAAATTAAGATTATTTGTAAAAAAGTAATGAAAAATCTGAAGCGTAAAAAGCTGAAAAAGATGAATATTAATAGTTTATTTTTTACTATATAGAATAGCCTATAATAGTTAAGGCGTTGTTCATCTTCACTGTCTAATTAATCATGAAATATTAAGATTTAAGCACAATAATACTAATTGTAATAATGTAAAATGAAGGAAAAGAATTTTTGAAAATGTAAATTTCAGTCCTAAAACTATTTTCACTTTATTTTCCATTCTGAATTTCTTAGAAATTTGAAACTTAAAATATTTAATATCAATGTACCTGTACTATATTTTATAGCCTTAGTTTTAATTTCAGGTAGAAAATATTTGTCTGAGTTTTTGGAACAAGTATCTAGTCAAGGATTAATTGGTTATTGGGCAGCCGTACAAGAACTTCGTGTAACGGAGAAATCTAATTGGCATCAGTTAGGAGCAGAAATTTTTTATACATACGTAGCCATTCCCACTGCTGAGATTAAAGTTGATAAAGATGTGAAAAAAAAGATGGAAAGTTTTTTAATGGGAGATAAAGGACCAGATGTATTTTATGAAGTTCAAGAAATAGTTGTTCAAACTTTAGAGGAAAAGTACTATTCCTCTTTTATAATTAGCGAGCAGTATAAAAAGTTAATTGAATCAACAAATGATGAAAAATTAGATAGTAAGTAATAGATAAATGTTTTAAGCCGAGTAAAATTAATTAAAATTTTAATTTGAAATAATACTCGGATTGATTTATACAAATTTTATTATAATACTTGAGATTATCATTCGCTCATTACGAGAATTTTAAAACTCATGCTTTCACAGTTGCGAATGAGGATCGAAGATCGATAATTAATGGGACTATATCAGACAATACTTTATTAGTTGGAGAGCATTCCAATTACTCACGAAATAAACTTGATCGGTTACAAGAAAAGCTAAATAATAAAATGCAAGCATTGCAAGCACTTCAGTCGTCTTTAAAGCCGGAAAGTAAAGTACTAAGTATATTAGCAAAGGAAGTTGAATGGTTACAAGGTGAAAAAAGGCAGTTGGAGGCCCATTTAAATCATACGGAAATGTGGGCTGAGCACTTAGGACGTTGGAGAGCGGACGTTCAGAGCGCTGAAGTAAATAATCGATAACTCACTTACTTCCCCTTGAATATTAATATTTGATTATAATGTATTTATTCTCAATACATATTTTGAAGAAATTTAACATCTAATACGGTTGCTTTAATAAGTGCAGTTTTACATGATTTTATCATTAAATCACCATAAAATATAACTCAATTATCGTATGATTAATATAAAAAAAAAAAAATTAAGCACTGACATACTTTTGCACGATATTCATCAAAAAGATCATAAATTAAAATACTTAATTTTGAAAGCCATACTGAGACAGAGAGAGAGAGAGAGAGAGAGAGAGAGAAAGAGAGTTAACTGAAAATAATAATATTCAATGAGAAAATGAAGATATTTATCTTTTTTTTTTGTTTCTTTTTTTAAATTAATCTTAATATTTATGATTTAGACTCCGGATAATGGTGAGCCTCCAGAATTTGTTTTAGTTGTTCATATGATAACAGATGTTGCAGACGAAGCCAGTATTTCTACGGGATGGGTGGTTTTACGAAAACTGCAAGAATTTCAGGAACTGCATAGAAAACTACGTCAGCTGTGTTCTAGTGTAAAACATCTAGAATTACCATCTCAGCCTCTAAAATTTTTTGGCAAAACGGACAAGAATGCAATGGATAAAGCAAGAACGCAGATTCAAAAATATTTAAATGTATAAAATAATTCGATTTATTAAAAAAAAAAAAAAAAAAAAAAAAAATTTAATTCAAACGTTTATATATATATATATATATGTTATATTATTTTTGCATGCAACAGTTTGTTTTAGATGATGATCGTTTGAATCAAAGCGAAGCGTTGTACACTTTTCTTAGTCCAAGTTCGGAGCGTTTGAAACATAGTACACCATCGCCAAAGAAATCACGATTTTCTTTATCTACCCTGTTTAAATCGTTAGTAATGTACTTTCTTTAAATTTACATTAAATTTACTTTGAAAATAATAATATTTAAATGAGCATCTATCTTTATAAATCAATGAGTTCGAATGCGGTACAAATTATTTATTTCATTCGTATGTTAAATCTCCACTTGATGTTACAGTAGTTCAGGCAGCAGTGGGGACTCACGAGAGAAAGACGACGAAGAAGAATATTCCTTATTATTAGATGATAATGAACCCACGCGATCGGTGACTGATGCTTTTCTAGGATTAGGAAAAGATTCTATTGCTGAGCCGCTCTACACCTTACTTGGTGAAATTTTTGATTTAAGAGGTGTATTCCGTTGGTTAAGGCGATCATTAATTACCTTCGTACAACTTACTTACGGAAGAACAATTAATAGGTGAGATAAGCGTCACTATAAAAATTTTGAAGATCAAATACTTTTATGTAATTCTTAAAATACAATCGCTTGTCTGACAATAGCTTTGATAGGTGAATTTTTATCTAAACTTGAACGAAGTTTACGTATACTTACATAGACTTGAAGCAACTTTATTAGTTTACGCAAATGCAATAAGCAATAATTAAAACATTAAAACAAATTTCATAAATCATTTTATCCATAACAAGAAATATTAAGTACAGTCAGAATACATAATATTAATAATTAAGTTTATCGCGAACTTAGCCGTAAAAACGGAATAAATTCCACAAAATAGGTAATTTTTAATCATTCAACAATTTATAAATGGACCGATTTAAGGTTGTGGCTTACATTTTATTATCAAATGCACCTTTCGTTATACTTAGAATTTTTTCAAAATAATTAATTATTTCCTAATGCTTATAATATTATAAAGTTTTTTTCATTCGACTATATTCAATTGCAATTTAATGTAAAATTTGATTGACCGTGTAACGAATCAATCAATCAATCAATCAATCAATTATTATTATTATTATTATTATTATTATTATTATTATTATTATTATTATTATTATTTGTATTTATATGTAATATAATTTATAAATAATAGTTGGTTTTTTTAATAATATTAAATCAGGGTAGTATTACGAAACATATATAGCTATAACAGTATAAAAACAAGTACGAATAAGTTTTCGTAATTTTTAAATGCTCTTTAAATTAAACATTTTTTTTTTTTTTAAATATTATAGACAAGTTAGGGATACCGTTACGTGGATGTTCTCTGAACCAATGCTTCATTATTATATTCAACTGTTAATAAAATCGTGGTGGCCTAATGGTAAACTCGTTACGGATGTGCCAATTCGATTGAATGAAGATAAATTAAAAACACGTTTAGAAGCTCGTCAACAATTTTTAAGTAACGTACCTGACTTTTTGACGAACCTAGTTGGAGCTCAAAGTGCTCAAAGAGGAGCCACGAAGGTTTTTGACTCTCTACAAAACGTGCAACTAAATAAACAATTATTTTACGTAAGTAATTTCAACAGATATTTCAATTTTTCTATTTACACCACTAAAAATTAATTTCAATATTCCTCAGGATATTTTTGAAGTTATAATGTATGAGATGTTTCCAGATTTAAAAAAGGGCAGAGATTAAATATTTTTTCATTGCATAAATGCATTCTAAGTAAAATTTTAGGTAAACTTTGAATATTTGTGAATTATATTTTTAACCATTTTGACTGTCAAATTAATGAGAAATCAGGTTTGTCGTTTATAATAATTTACAATTTTTATAATACTTAAGGTGCTAAACTTTTTCTAAGCCAGCAGTATTACTTAAAAGATTTTTTAACTAGCATCCAAATGAATTTGAAATTTCATCGATTTCTGAGCAAAATATAAAGGCTCGACCGATTAGATTTTACTAGCCTATATTACAATGTATTACATATTGGAAAATGATAGTATTTATTTAGTTAATATCTTAGTATTATCACGAAGTACAATATTAATGATTATGGTGCTAGTTACCAAAGATTATAAGCAGTGCATGTAGCAAACAATTTATTGAAAGTATATTCTATTTATTGGAAAATATTTTTATTAAGCCGCATTTTTACCTATCTCGGTGCACAATTGAAATACTTTTTGCAACTATGTTCTAGTTTCTGTTTCCTTTTTTTTTTTTTTTTTTTCTTTTCTTTTCTTTCACAACAAATTCATTTAAAATATGTATTTTCATATGTTATTAGAAAATAATTTTGATACTGATAAATATATCCGTTTTCTATAATTTGCATTTAATTCATAAAAACGTCTTTTGTAAGCTGACGTGAATTGGAATAAGAATTAATCTATATGATAACAATGTATTTCCGATACTTACGAATGTTTATAGTATAATAATGTCCGATTAAAAAATTATACATTTCAGATTTATAAATTTAGTAAAGTATTCTTTTAGTTTCAATCTTATTATAATTAAGTTTAAATGCCTTTTTAAAAATAATGATAATTATTATTATTGAAGAAATTAGAAATACATTGTGTAATATGAACAGTCGATGAAATATATTGTCTAACGTTTAGTCATTAATGGATATTTTTAAAACAAATTTCTTTTATAACTTACAACAGCTTTAATTCATCCTTTAAGTTTACAATTCTCAATTATCCAATAATAATTATTATTATGATTATCCTCGTTGTTTTTTTGTTTTGTTGTTGTTGCTGTTGCTGTTGTTGTTGTTGTTGTTGTTGTTGTTGTTGTTGTCGTTGTCGTCGTCGCTGTTGTTGTTGTTGTTATTATTATTATTTTATTTAACTCTATATATAGCTGTTTTGCAAAAATGATCAAATCGGAATTTTTAGCCAGAATGGCTTAAGCCCCAGTGTTATATTCTCTCTTTATTAGTAGCCGAATTGAATAATTTATGTTCATTACGTTTCGCTTAAATTGCACGGATTTCGTTCTTATTCAGCATTAGACATGAATGATGCAATTTGCAAAAGGATCTTGTTAAATTTAATTTTATATCGTTATAATAAATAGCCCTCGCGTTCATACACCATGACAAACTTTTATAATATACGATAAAAGTGTTTAAAGGAACTTTTTATAAAAAAAAAATTGTCATTTTTATAGTCTTCCTTTTTTCCCCCATCTAGATTAACATTAATTTTTAAGGTTTTTTATTTATTGTCGATATTTTTTGTTTTTGACTTAATTTTTTTCTTTTTTTTTTTAATTTTTACCAAAGTTATTAAAAACATACTTCCTTTATGACTTGTTAAATCAAATTATTTTGTTGATCAGCCATGCGCGTCATCATATAGGTATATTAATTTTATTTACTTAGTATTAATTATGGCGATCTGATAATCGTAAGTGTGTCGCTTTTATTTTTCACACTAAAGAACATTGGATCTTAGGGATTATATTCTAAATATTATTGTTTACTGCTCTATCGATGATAATATTGTCATCGCTGGAATCGTAGACCTTTGTTCTTCCACAATTAATTGGTGGCCTGTCATTAGAATTTTTTATTCTTCGGATATTCATATTATTATCAGTTATATGCTTTATTAGCATTCATATATTAGAATATATGGTGTAATCTATTTTATTTCCTCGTTGTAAGTCGAGGACGCACAAATTGTGCCCCGCCCCCGTCTTTTTTCCTCTCTTGCATTTTCTCATCTCTGTCTGTCACTTTTCATCGCCACTGTATTTAAATCACGTATACCGAGAAAACGCCTTTGGAATAACGCGAATCTAACAAAGACTTTGTAAATGCACGAGTGAAACGAGAAATGAACGTAAGCCAAGACTGAAAATTCAATAATTCAAGACAAATAAACGTTTCGATACAATTTGTAAAGTTTCATAAGATACATATATTATCCAAAGCTTCATTATTACTTGCTTTAAAAACCAATAGTATTAATAATTAACTTTGATTAATTATGATTATCAATAGATAGACTTGCTTTTCTGCCCTTATATAGTGAATAAATACATCCTCGGATGAATAATTACAAAACCAAACGTTATCCATTATCGTCGTAGTATCTATTATCATTGCTTCTGTTTAAATCTAAACTGATAATCATATTTTCCTCCCTAATGATTTAACTTATCATCGTCAAGCTATGGCCAAGCAAATAGTTGAGATAAATTTTCGTATTGTCGTTGATTAAAATGATTATTACATTATTGTCAAGAGATAATCGTATTAGAAGCTTAACTTCTATTATTTTTATCCGCTTGTATTGTATTTTCAATGTGTAAAACAATAATTATTTATTATAAAATTAAATTTTTATAGATATTTCAAACAAAAGTTTCAATATTCATATAAATATCTTGTATAGCAAAATATCAACAAAAAATATTCATAAATTTTGAGAATCCTACGACCATGACCATTTAAAATTATGTGATCTACTGGTTAAAAAATTAATAAATTATTTATAACTTTTTCATATTTGTCCACACTCTTATAAATTTATTTCACTTTGAATAATCTTCAGGCTCTCACTCTCACAACTCGTAATAGATTCTGTTCATATTAATTTGTATGCTTTAATGAAATGGATTTTGTTTTTCTTGGATTTTCTTTAAGTTTCTTATATTATTATAATTAAAATACAAGATAATTTTTACAATTATTATAATATAAATTTACTCAATATTTTCTTTTATCATCAATATTTAAGGCTATATAATATCGAAGGCTTTTATTAAAGAGCCAAAAATCATCTATAAAAAATTAATTTTACGATAAAGAAATATTTTAACACTCATTCGTTCATTGCTTCACTTCCACGTATTTATTTATCTATCTTCTATTCGTTCTTCCGAATGTAAATCCGAATATTAAATTGGTATACTCGTTATGAATTTATGTGTTTCATCAGGAGGTTTATACACTTCTATTTTCTATTTGGTGATAATTGAAGATGAGCAATTGAAGTATGAAGGTGACGTACGTCCAGTGTCGTAAACTTTTCCAATACAAAATCCTCATCCCTATTAACAAACCTTTTATCATTTTTACTTTTCTTTTTTTCATTTTGAATTATGACTAGTTGAGCTATTAATCTTGATATTACATCGCTTATAGAGTTGCAAAATCGTTAATCATTATGATATATATAAGTAATACAGGAACAACAATAAACAATCATTTAGTACTATATTGACTGATAACTTCCCACTCGTTTCACGGCTTTCGATGTTTCTTATCAGTTCAATGGAAACCATAAAGTCGAAGCCTTGAATTTTCTATGTACTGGCATTATAATATCCTATTGATAGTAAATCGTCCTTCAATGTTTCGCAAATAGCTTCCTGTAAAAATGTTCTCGTAAATGTTGGGTGTTCAGTTGTACTGATCAAAGACATATATCATCCACAGCTTCAATTGATTTTTCTATAATAAATAATTCATTAACCGTAATATGTTGTTATAGAAAAGCTTTATATTTATAATGAAACACTAAGCTCATCGGAGATTTACAGTCGAGTTAAACAAGTTTGTAGAAAAAGTAACTTGTGAAGTAGATAAATCAGAAACAAGCGGCGCCTATAATTTAAGTTCAAAGACTCTTTTCTATATCTATTCTTTCACGGTATATGAATTTGCTTCCCCCTTTCTCTTCCAAAGTTATTTCACGATACTCAAGATATATCGATTTTTCGAGTGGTGCAAAGAAGCTTTCGAACCTCTTTTACTATAATTACTATCCGTGACACATTGAACAAATAAAATTAACTTATTAATATGAATTCAATAATTCATCTATGAAAGAAAATTTAATTTTGTACAGAACTAGTATTTTGATTAATTAGAATCTTATTAGTTAATATTGTAAATGAATATTCAATAAAGTATGATAAAGAAAATACATGAAAGTGATATTGACGTATTAAGAACAAAATAAAACAATAATTTATATACGGATTTTATAAGTTATATTTAAAAAAAAGTATATATTATAGTTTGTATATTAGACTCTCTCTCTCTCTCTCTCTCTCTCTCTCTCTCTCTCTCTCTCCCTATCTCTACACATATTTATGTAACATAATAGTATTACATCATTTATAATTTTATATTCAATTTTCTATTTTTTTTTTATCTCTATTGATCTTTTTATTTTAATATCTTATAAGTGGGAAATTAACTTTCTACACAAAAATCATTCCTTTGAAATAATTTAAAGTAATGGAACCTTGTATAGATAAAATGCTTATATATATTTAATCGTTTGTCGTTCACTTTTGATATTTACATATTTTCATAATTTTTTTAAATGTCATTGAATTAAATTATTTATAAATTTGATCAGGTTATTAAGTAATTTGTATAAGAAATCAAAATCTGTACAAAATACTCCTTTATTGTTTTATTTATGAACACGCTAAAACTTTAAATTTTAAAATATTTATTAATTTATCATGGCATAGTATCAAAAAAAAAAAAAAAAACAAAAAAAAAAGAAAAGTTTTTATGTATTTAATGATAAAATACCACGTTGAATTAAATACGTACTACATAAATATATTTCTTAATTCAAACATTTAATTTTCAGATGATAAAATACTATTATCAACCGATATGTTTTATATTAAAATTATTAAAATAAATTGTATTAGTATACAATTTTAGAG